GGATCCACTTTGAATATATTATATTTTATTCAAAGTGGATCCCCCTCCATACGAGGGGTGAACACCGTTATGAACACTCCTTTATATACGTGTAGCATCACCCATAAATCATATCTCTGCATGTATATACATCTATATATGTATGTATCTCTCTCCTCTCTTTGTCCCTCTTTTGGCAATGATTATATGGCTCTTGTTCTCCCTCCCTCTCTCCCTCCTCTGTGCATTCTGAAGTAATCAAAATAAAGTCATTACTCTCTGTAGCCTCTCTCTTTTTCTCTCTGCGTGTTAAGCTCTGTAATTCTCCACCCTATATACAGAAAGTTGTGTCATCCCAGATCCCAAATATATATATGTATAAAAATTATAATATCTTTAAGGGGTCCTGAAATCTTGAACCCCACTTTGCTGTAATACCGCTTAAAGTAAAAGGTGAATAGTTAAAGCAGTTTGTTTTGGTGCTAATATGCAAGAACAAGGCATAACCATCATGGGTTCTGGTGGTGTCGGCGTCGGCGAGCAGAACCACCAGCTCAAGGCGGAGATCGCCAGCCATCCGCTGTACGAGCAGCTGCTCTCCGCCCATGTAGCGTGTTTAAGGGTGGCGACACCGATTGATCAGTTGCCACTTATTGATTCTCAACTCTCACAGTCTCAAAATCTGTCAAGGTCTTATGCTCAGTATAATATTTCTCAGTCTCTAACTATACATCAAAGGCAAGAACTTGACAATTTCATGGTAGGTTTTTTCTTCAAATTCTTGTCTCCTTTTCTATTATTGATTTTTTATTTTTTTAATTCTTCATTTTGAATTCTTTTTGGTTTGGATCATAGGATGGGTGGAACTAGGAAACACCACAACCTGTTTGGTCCAGATTAAAATCCAAGTCAAAGTGAAATAATCAATATTAACCACATTTTTCATGGATCTCACAATTTTTCAACCACACATTTCAAAAACTTCTGTCACAATCTACTAAAAATTAGATTTTAATCCTCACCAAACACCCTAAAATCATATTTTTAAGAAAAAAAAGAGGACACGAAACATTTACAAATACATCTACGAAAATATGATTTTAGGGTTACAATATTATAATCGTTTAGTATTTATACAATATGTTGTTACTTTTAGCCGGTAGCTTAAAGCTATCGTAGGTGATTATAGACAAATTACAGGTCGTTAATTTTTTTTCAAGAAAAGCTTAAAACTCTATGAAGGTTAATTAAATCCTAATTTTCAAAATGTTTCATTGTCCCTTTTTTTTAGGTTTTTTTTTTTTTTTAATGTTAAATTAATAAGAAATTGATGTTTATGTATATTTATGTAAGAAACAGACACAATACTTGTTAGTATTGTGTTCATTTAGAGAAGAGCTGCAGCAACATGTCAGAATCCATGCTGTCGAGGCTGTCATGGCTTGCCGTGAAATTGAGCACAATTTACAAATATTGACAGGTATTTATTTATTATTTAATTTCTTTTATGGAATATATATATATACATAATTATCAAAATAATCTTTGCGCTCGAGGTCAATGACGCAACTAGTTAGGTTCGGTGCACGTCTATTGCTGATCGAAAATTATTTCCAATTGCCTCCGATGGTTGAGACCTACATTGGATAAAGGCCTACGAAAAAGAAAATGTAGTTATCGATTAGTGATTTTCTTTCATTTTTTATTATATGAGAACATATATAGATATACATAATATATGCAATGATAAATCTTAAATATGATTAATCAAGATGCTCTACTAGGGTTGGGATAATTTGGTAATTCCATTGGTAGGCAGGAGGATAAGAAAGTAATTTTGGGCTTTTGGAGGCTTGTGTGACCTTATAACAAGAGGTGGGTAAGGTGGGACCCACTGGAAGGAGTAGTTTTTTATAGTTAGGAGAACCTTAAGTGCCAACAAACCAATAAAATAGTAAGTTGCTAACAACTTAACTTGAATGCTCATTGAACAAGCTAAGAAAGTTTGAATAGGTATGTCACAAATAAATAAATAAATAAATAAAAATCAACCCTTATATTGGTGACTTTCATTGACTTTAATACTTACTAAAAGTTTGTCGATAATATGTTTCATGATTGTCAATATATTGGACTCGAGCACCAAAAAAATTTGTCGTTGATACAGTATTTTCATTTACAGAAAATGTCTACGCATATTTTCATGTTCAGTTGCTTTGATACGATTTTATTAGTCTTTAGCCTTGACATATTCGGTATCTAGATTACAGTGTATTTTTTGTGAACATTTTAGAGTAAATAGATTGTCATATATCGAAGGTGAATGACTTTTACTTTGTAACGTATAAACTAGGGGTAAACCTAAAAGTTTGGATCAAATTAAATGAACTAAAAGAAAAGCATATATCATATTTGGTGTATAATGTTGGATATATAGGATAGTATTGTGAAGAAATCGTAAGTAGTTTTGTTATTTTTAATATTGTCGAGTACGTTACAGGAACAACATTAGGTGAAGGAGCCGGAACCGGTGCAACCATGTCGGATGATGAGGATGAGCTTCAAATGGATTTCTCATTAGATCAATCAGGAGCTGATGGACATGATTTGATGGGTTTTGGACCGTTGATTCCAACAGAATCAGAGAGGTCTCTGATGGAAAGAGTTCGGCAAGAACTCAAAATTGAACTTAAACAGGTGAATGAATTTCTTCTAAAATTTTAACAAGAACATGTCCTATACTGTGCAAAATTTTCATTCATTGTTGAATCTTCTCGTCTAAAAATCTTAAACTATTATCGAATGTGCCTTTGTAGGGATTTAAGTCGAAAATCGAAGATGTTAGGGAAGAAATATTAAGAAAAAGAAGGGCAGGAAAATTACCAGGTGACACAACTACAGTGCTCAAGGACTGGTGGCAGCAACACTCAAAGTGGCCTTATCCAACTGTAAGTCCCTTCTTTATCGACCTCGTTTAAGGAGAAAAAGTATACTAATTAATTTTTGCGTTGTCTAAGCTTATGTAATATCTTAATCTCATGAATATGAAAACACGAACTCTTGTGGTGGTTTGATTTGGGCTACACAAAATTTTAGCGGTCCAGTTCAGATCCGAACTGAGAACTGTTATGGGCCAATTCCGACAGGGCTTTGAGCCCTGTCGATTGGAGAATTGGCCGCCCACTTTGACAGTAAAGTAAAAGCCATTTTAAAATAATTAACTTTTTCTTCTTTCTAAGCTCCCGCATTCAATTTTATGAAATTGCAGGAAGATGACAAGGCAAAGCTTGTAGAGCAAACAGGGTTGCAGCTCAAACAAATAAACAATTGGTTCATAAACCAAAGGAAGAGGAATTGGCACAGCAATTCACAGAATGCTTCTTCTTTAAAGTCCAAACGCAAGAGATAGAGAAATCGTGCTATATTTTGGGTACTGGAAAAAAAAAAGTTTGGATGATATTGAAATTGCATCAATAGATTGATGACTAATATTGCAATTTTCTTGGTGTAAATGCAACATAACTTCGAATTCTAAGTTCAGTAAGCTAATGGAAACTAACGTCTAGAAATGTGGTAGATTTGGTCGGAATGTATTTTATGGTCTCGAATGCCAATTCGTTTCTCTACTTTTTGTTTCTGTATAAGAACGTGAATTAGATTTTGTCGATCTTCTTTGTCCCTTGCTCGAACCATTTCAAAATGTAGTGAATATAGATACATAAATACATACATTCATATCTACTTATATATGTGTTCACATATGTAATTTTGTCGACCCAATGTTTTTTTTTTTTTAACTTTTAACGAAGTGTTTCAATTATATGGTAAATCGATTGAGGTGTGTAAGTGACTTTATTTTTTAGCTTATACAAATAAAAAAAATTGTTCTTAAACTTATTTAATTATAAGTAAAACTTTTTTAAGCACAGGCAAACAGGCTAGAGTTGATACCAATAACAAAAGAGACAAAAATGGGACGACTGTTGAGAGTGGGATTTGAACCCACGCCCTTTCGGACCAGAACCTTAATCTGGCGCCTTAGACCAACTCGGCCATCTCAACAATTGTGCTAAATCTCCTTTTTATAAAATATTTAATAAGTAAGAAAATCATTTCATTTAAATTTCAAACAGTTAAAATGTAGATAAATTTATTTACTAATTTATATTTATTCTTCAACAATGGTTTCGAATATTACTAGAAGACTTTAATGGCAAAAAGAAATCAACGCAAATAAAAACTAGTAAAAATGTCCTTTGTGTTGTAAAATGAAAGTAAATTAGGATTTAATGTGAATGACACTGTACCCCTGCAGCCCTAGATATTATTACCATATATATTCCTATTCATTCCCTATAAATATAGGGCTTTGATTCTCATTATAATACACACAATTCTATCGGCTTCTCTAAGGGTGTGTTTGATAGCATGGAAAATGGGTAGAAAAGGAAAACATTTTCCAACTTTTCCTTTTTTGTAGTGTTTGACAGCAAGAATTTGGCATGGAAAATGGGCCAATGTTTTTCCCTCTACGCGCCTGTTGCCCTGCGTGAATGGAAAGGATTTTCCCACCTTTTAGGTGGGAAAATTAATTCTGTGTGCTGACTGCTTTTTTTTT